AACCCAACTGCATTGCCTTTCAACTATTAGAATTAAAGGTCATTTACTAAATATTTGCCCAACATATCAGTTTATTCAAAATTTCAAGTCATTCTTTTGTACTTTACATCCTCAATACAGCTAGAAATACCCAAGAGTTTAATGCCATAACCAGACTTTGCTTATCATATCCATATCAATATAATTAATGTAAATGAGGAAGAGAAGAGGCCTAAGCACTTACCCCTGAGATGATCCTTTGTTAAGTAAGGATCCAGTTTTTCTGGACTCCATTAATAACAACCTTTTGCATTCTCCTATCTAACCTCTCCAAACCTCAAGTTAATCTGTCCCCAGTCCTTAAAGATATGATTTTCTGAGATAATATTTTGTGTGGCATCTTCTCAAAAGCACTTTGAAAATCTAAGTACATTAAGGCACACTCTTTCCTTCATTCAAATAAGAGTACAAGTACTAAAATTATTAGTAGTAGGCTAATAGAAGCTATAATATCAGTAGGTGACAATGCCCAATGGTAGGGCACAGCCATAAATAAGAAAAATATTTTGACAATCACTATAAAGATGAAATATATCTAATTAAAGGAATATGAAAATATAACTGGTAAAGTAAGGATATTAAAATATATACAAAATTAATGTTAAAGCATTAAAATGATATATGTACTTGTGTACTCAAAAAGAACATGAGAAACAACAGAAGTCCATTGAGGCTGCCCAATAGGGTGCATCGAAAATATAAATTTCCTGTATCATTATCGGCAGGGTATGTGATTGTTGCCTTTTAATAGTAGACTTATAAAATTATATCTTGTACTGCCCTGGGGGGGGGGGGGTAGTTTCCTTAAAATATCCATAATCAAAGTATTTGATAAATCAAAGTACCATAATTATGGATATACAACATTTAGCAACTTTAGGAGTTTTGTATCCCAAATTACCCAGAACTCACCATGAGGAGGTAGTTGCATGTCGAGTTTCACCCAATCACCCTTCCACTGGGCAATAGAATTAATAGATTATGTATAGTTTCTTAGTATTAAATTTTTTCATGACTTTGCGAGATTAAAGTTTGCTTTAATGAATCTCTTTCTTCTGTGACAGCTGCTGAAGCTTCTGTTACTATTTTAACTTGTCTTTCGACTGCTTGTGTGTGACACGGCATGCTGAGCTTGAAAATTGGCATATCATCTTGATTAATGAAAGACACCAACTGTTCATTGCTTATATTTTTTGTAAGTGGTTCTACTTTCAGTCCACATTATTAGATCAGTGTAATGTTGAACTTTCATATTAATATTTGGAACCACAAACTGTCTCGTTGTGCTAGAATTTGAGGTAGATCGAGCAGACTAATATTCTACAAAGAGCAAGTTATTTGATAGCCTTAGAATCATCTCCAAGCATTGCAAGCAACAAATTTTCTGAGTGGATAAAATATGCATTTCTCCAGATTACTCTATCCACCACATTATTCTCTGATTCAGGACGAAAACATAATTTTCTTACAAGTAGAAAAAGGTGCAATGAGCCATGATATTAAACTAAACTGTTGCATACACTTCAATTACATATCTCACTAATAAACTAAGCTTCTTGGATGGGTCAGCAGTTGCAACGTAAAGGTGCAAAATCCTGTTTGCTGTTATCAACCAGCGAGAATGTTTCATTTTACCAGGGCCACGTAAAGCAAGTTCTCTTGAACTATGACCTGACACTACCACATTGCACATGTCATGCAGATATTTTTGATCTGTATTAAGATTCTCAGGACGGTTAGTTTTCGGTAATGGCTCTGTAATTTCAACTGAAACAAAGTTTACTGAAGGCAGTGATTCATGAGTCTTCCACTTCTTTCCAAGAGGACCAGAAAAAGTGGATGGTCCTAGAGTTACTTCATCAAGATGCATAAATAGATGATCGAGGGGTAACTCATTGGCATGTAACAAACAAATTAACCAATGAAAAAGTCTTCCTAAGTGCAATTCAAGAAGTTGCATAACTCCAGCTTTTTCCAGTATTGACATATGTGCCATCACAGCCTACAGCGACTAAATGATCAGATGATTTTTTTTTTCATCTTCAAACCACTGAATTATAGAATTTTTTATACCTTCTGATGTTCCAGAAGAAGGAGAAATGTAATCCATGAAAATTGATTTAGGTTCACTGACCAAAGTTATGTGCTGTTCCATGACTACATGTTTATAATGTTTTTGCCCATTTTTAATGACAGTTTTAGTTATATCTTTTCTGTCATCAAAGTAGATAGATTTAATACAATTTGATCCCTCAGAAGCCAATAATATTTCTCTTTTTTATTTCTCGTTCGTGTCATTTCTTGTTTTTATCAGCAATTTTAACATTGTCATTTTCTACCGTAATGCCCATATCTTCCAAAACAGCTGAGGTACGGGCTGCAGCAGCTCTATCCAAAATACAGCACCTGTCAGTTTCTCTCACTACCGTTGGAAGTGGTGTCCTCAGTTGTTTGTTTATTTTAGGATTTTAGGATTTCGATGTAGAAAGTGCAGTATTAGCAAAATAATCCAAACAAGTCATTGATTAAATATTTTGTTTGGTGGAGAGATTATACACTTTTTTTTCAAACTTTGGTTTCCTTGCAGCAGTTGAAGATATAATTGGAGGAGTTTCATACTGCATAATATTAATTCTTATAATAAAAGGCAACTATTGCACACCCTGCCAATTTGCAATTACAAAATAAAATTTTCGACTAAGTGAATTCGATGCACCCTATTGCCCAACAAGGAAACTGGATCATCCTAGATCATTTTTGTGTATACGATTATCCGACAAAGCTTAATTCAAACTACTAGCAATTATCACATCATTAGGCAAACCATTTCACAAATTTGTAACTAGTAGGGAAAGTGTTTTACCTAATATACAACCTGAATCTGGAATTCCTTACCTTGTACTTATTTCTTCTAAAATTCAGATTTTAACCTCCAGCCTTATCTTTCACCACTGCAAAAAACCTCTCATGGGCAGTTTATTGCAGTCCTGAATGATTTTAAAGAACTTGAATGAAGATACCTCTCGCTCTTTGTTTTAACTCTAGAGAAAACAGATTTGAATCTCTCTTCATAATACAAGCATTTGAAACCAGGTATCATTTTGATAGCCTGTCTCTGAAATGTTTTCAAGCAAATCAATATCTTTTCTATAATATATTGACCCAACCTAAACATGACATTACTTTGAAGAAGGACTTGCCAAAGTTTTGCACAGTGTCACTGTAACCTCACTACTACTGAATTCAAAATAGATCCAAGAACCCTTTATGCTCTTTTCCTATTTCCAAAATGTCAGCCAGAAAGGTTGGAGGCTTTTAATAATCATCACACTTAATTCCTTCTTGCTTTTCAGTACACTAATATTTCTCCCACATAAAAAAAATAGACTTTCCAAACTTCCTGGCCTGGAAATAAATCACTTTACATTTTATCAGTGTTGAAACTCATTTGCCACAATAAGACTTTCCAAATCTTTCTGCATGAAGGAAACATTTTAAAAAAATCCAGTTTACCCAGTAGTACATATCATCAACATAGGTAATAAATAACAGTGGTCTGAAAACAGATTCTAGAGGATCTCAATATTGCATTTTCATTATCAGAATGATGCTTGTTTAACAATCCTCTGTTTTCTTCCTTCAAGCCAATTCTTAATCTGCCTATTGGGTTTTCCTGAATTCTATTAAAAATCTTGTCAATCAACTGATTGTGAGGAACTGTATCAAAAGCTTTCTTGAAATCTAGATACTTGACATAAACAGGGATACTCTCCTTCAGACAAGTAAAAATCCTACCAAAAACTAAAGTTAGTGAGACAATAAAACCTATTTATAAATTCATTCTGAGAAGTTTTAGTCAAATTCCAACTTTCAAGGTGCTTTTCTAAGTGATCCTGACAATGTATTCCAACAGCTCACCAATAACAGAAGTCATACTGATTGGTCTCTAATTTCTTGAGTCTTCCATAGACTCTTTGAATCTCTCTTTGTGTCTAAAGACATCTTGAAGATTTCAGCTAAAATCATTACTTACTGTCTTTAAAGTCTTAGGAGAAAACTAATCAGGGTCAGAAGTTTTTCTATCAGTAAGGTTTAAAAACCTTTCCAAAAATTAATCTTCTTTAATAATAATTTGTAAGAAGAGCTCTTCTCCTTCCCCTTTTTTAATTTATCAAGTTTCTTTGGTATCATGTTGGCATCATCTTTGGCAGAAACACTGGCAAAAAATATCTTATCCATATTATCCTTCTTGACAAAAGGCTCTCACTTAAATCTATTAAAGGTTCAATGTTATCTTTGGCTTTTATTTTGCTTTTAACATAAGCATAAAGACCCTATAAATCTTAGTTAATATTACCAGATAAAAATCTTTAAAACCTTTCAGATTCAACTATGGCTTTCTTAACGATGTTTTTTATTTTCGTATTCTACTATATCTTCCAATTTATTAATATTTTTTCATATTCTTGAAACTACATTTATAATTTATTGAAAATATTAATATTCCTATAAAGCTATTTATAGTACTTGGTCTTCAGCTTGAACATAAAAATTTACTAGGAAAGCTATCATTCTCAGGTAGTCTAACAGATCTAGCAAAAAAAAATCAAAGTATGTTTCATATTTTTCTTTCTTAAGCCAGTTTCTAAGTTAGTTTCTTTAATCAAACTGTTAGTTTCTGCATGTCAGTCTTTTTAAAATCAAAGACATAATACTTTATTCACTGACAGTTATAATCCTGGTTTCAAATTAAGACAATGGTTTTCTAGTGCCCATTTCAACAGTCTAATTGCACATAAATCCATAGGCAACTAGACTGGTATATCTTTGTATGAGAATAATGTGATCATTAATATTTGAAAGCTCTTGCAAAATAGCATTTCTAACTATATCTTCTGCGGAACTAAAAATAATGTCTAATATATAGCATCTTCTGTAGTAGGTTCTTAGATATGTCAAGTTAGAAAACCAGCTCCCACAATATCAATGAACTCTTCAGCTTTTTCTCAGAGCCATATTAATTCAGTTTATGTTCTTAAAATTGAAGTTTCTTTTAAAAATAAGTCTACTATTATCAACCATTTCAAGACGGGTCACAGATGAAAGGCCATGTCATCATGTTTGTTGATGCACATTAAAAATATTATTGAACTACTATTTCATGAATTTATGT